AAATGTATTCTCACAATGATATATTGTTGGCACATTAGCTCAATTAAGATTCTGTGAATTTATGCACGGAGTGAAAGTCACTAAAATGGCATATAGTTATTTCAACATATACAGTATCAACCTTTTCACCACCTGTTCCCGCTTTTCATCCCAAATCCATAAAATAGTCCGCTCTTTCCTTTAGAAATTGGGACAAAAATAGTTTTTTGAGTAAAAACTGACTAAAATTCTGTCTGTTGGCTCCAAAATTAGGATTCATTCTCAGAAATATTTAAGAATATAAGAAAGAAGTGCAGAATAATTTATGAGAGCAATTCTAGTGGTTAACATGTACGTGGTTAATTTGAACAGATTTGATATAAGAACTTTTCAGATTCAGAACCCTTTCACTTACAAAACAAAAACTGATAAAATTGCCTCAGCAATATAGAAATTATATACCGCATATGCCAGCCTTAGATTCCTCTGTGAAGTACAAGCCCTGTGTTTGGCTTCTTCTAATCCCTCGCGTATTACTGTGGAATACTTTATTTTCGCTGGAATAAATTTTCGCTGAAAAGGCTTTTTGGGCGTTTTGTATAGAATTTATTTCCAATGATTTTTGATGAGTTTAATGTGAAATATAGGAAAAAGAGTATATTCGTTGGATTTTATTTTCACTGAACCACTCCTTCAGCGAAAATGGCGAAAATAAATTCCAAGCGAAAATAAAGTATTCTACAGTACCATTGGCAAACAATTTTAGATTGCTTACCCTAATTTATGTAATTTTCGCCAACTTATTGTTCGGCCTGAACATAATTTATTATTTAGCTAGATTTAAAACGGAGGAGTTGTCACCTGCACATACGACAGATGGCCATAGCGTGTCATTGTTTACAAACAAGCATCTACCCATGAGCCTTTGCACTTTTAGCATGTGTTGTTATCGTCGCTTGGGACTCGATTCCCGTGTGTGCGCATGTGGCGACCCTCCTACTTTATAAGCTGGCTTAGTTTGCCTTCAAATCTATTCCATATTTTAATTGTGCAGAGTAGTCTGTCTGCATATGTCCCATGTTAGTAACAATACTACAAAGACTAAATTGAAATTATTGATGAAAATGATACTTATAAAAATTAAGTTTTCAGGTAAAGCCAGCTGCTCGCCATCTCAAGTTATGTTATGCCAAGACTATACTCTATTTTCTGAACTGATGGAGCAACTCTGTCCCACATTTCTTTCCTGTCGTGAACACTGCATTGATTAAAGCGAGGGAGTCGTCACTGCACATGTGTCAGATGGCCATAGCGTGTCGTTGTTTACAAACAAACGTATACCCATGAGCTAATGTGTTTTTAGCGTGTGTTTTTATCGTCGATTGGGACTCAATTCCTGCGCGTACGCAGGTGACGACCTTCCTGCTTTAAATCTGTGTACAAGTTTTTCTTTAGGCCTGGTATAATGGTTAGCATCTCTTTCTAGCATCAAGGAGTCTCTGGGTTGGACTCCCTTGATAGTTTTCACACTCAGCAGTGAAAAAAAAAATACATTCTGTTGTGAAGCTGTTTGTTCAGTCTCCCGTTTCTGTCCTCAGTGCATACGAAAGATTCAGTTGTACTTGTCAGGTGGAGTAGCAGTTTCCCTGTCAGTGTGCATGTATGCTTGAGTTGTGCTGTTCCTCTTTTCCATGTCTGTAATTGGGCCGAGCCTGCTCAACAGAAATGATTGTATGAGGGGGAAATATATACCTACAATCAAATAAATACAGGCTTAATAAATGAATGAATGAATGAATGAATGAATGAATGAATGAATGAATGAATGAATGAATTTTGTTTATTATTTATATTTAATTTTTTTTTTTTACCCTAGATAACCAAAAATGAATGATACACAAGAAGTCACCTTAGATACAGAGAGGTTGGAAGCAAAACTGACACAAGAAGTCACCTTAGATACAGAGAAGTTGGAAGCAAAACTGACAAGTTCTGATTTTGCACAAGTTATTTTTCAGAATGTTGCAGAATCATACCCTCCCGGTAAGTTGTTGGTGGATGGATAGAAGGGTGGGAAATACTGTAAAATACTTTATTTTAGCTGGATTTAATTTTCGTTTTTATTTTCACTGAATCATTTCTTCAGCGAAAATTAATTCCAAGTGAAAATGAAGTATTTTACAGTAGACTTGTTTGCATTGCACAAGTTATTTTCCGAATATTGCAGAATCATACCCTCCCCATAAGTTGTTGGTGGGGGAGGGGGTTGGAAATAGATAGCACAAGAACGTCATATAATCCAGTACTTTATGTCTTGGTACTTTACGGGGGTCAGTGTTTACGGAGATCAGTGTGCCTTTAAACCTTTTCACCACCAGTTCCCTCTTTTCATCACAAATTCACAAAATAGTCCTGTTTACAGTCTGCACCTTCCTTCAGAAGACTGGTACAAACATAGCCAAAACTGAAAATTGACTAAAATTTTGTCTGTTAGCTCCAAAATTAGGGTTCATTTTCATTGAAGAAGAATTTAACACTTTTGACGATAATAACAGCTCATTGTCGAAACGCAGTTTACCCATTCACGCTACCCACAATAGACCTGTATTCTGGAATAAGCGTCAATGACTACGGAAAACCTAAATTAGACTCTAATCCAAGCGCCAGGAATCATTGAAATGTTCGAAAAATTATGCCTCAATTTAAAATTAAATGGTATATCTTTTTCTGAAATATGTGGTGGCTGTTTGGTTTGTGAAAATTTGAGGTGCGGCTTATATTGCAGGCTTTTTCCTGGAATCAAAACTTGTCAATTTCAACATAAAACAATGTCTCAAGTTAGGGGTGCAACTTCTATTAAAGCTGCGGCCTCAAATATGATTTTTACGGTAATATTGAAGTATATAAGAAAAAAAAGGGCAGTAAAATTTGGGATGAGAAAGTCTGGTGGTGAAAAGGTTAACAGGACTGATTTTGTCAGCTTGTTTACTACTGAGAAGATCAAGTCAGTCTTCAGAGAAAACTATAGGGTACTTGAATCACAAAAAAAAAATGTTGTTGCCACTATGTGCCAGAGATAATAAAACTTTAACTATATTACCCAACCAGTTTCTTTTTCTAATAGAGGAAATAGTCTAATACCTTTATGATTCAGCATATTTATAATGTAATTCTTGTTTATGTACACTTCCTTTGATATGACTCTCTACAGACAGACACTGATAATCACTATATCACTATACCAGCACTATGTTCCGGGTATAATAAATCTTTAACTATATTAACCAACCAGTCCCTTCTTCTAATAGAATAAATATGCTAATGCCTTTATGATTAAGAATATTAAAAATACAATTTTAGTTTATGTACACTTCCTTTGATATGACTCTACAGACAGACACTGGTAATCACTATATCTCACACCAGCACTATGTGCCGGGTATAATATATCTTTAACTATATTAATCAACCAGTTCCTTTTTGATTTATCACTATGCAAATTTGGTAATTAATATGCACAGATTTTTACCTCAAACTAATCAAATGCTAATACATTTCAGATGCTGACATAATATGCCACTATACATTGACTGAGAGCATTGTACCTTCCACAAGTGATTGGATCGGTCTCTTCAAAGTAGGCTGGACCTCTGCTAGGGGCTACCACACTTTTAACTATGTTCAGCCTCCAGCAACGCAGGAAGGCAAACAGAAAACAATGTCACAGAGTAACATCCAGTTCTCAGGTACTGTAAAACCATTTATTTTCACTATTTTGATGTTTTGAGCATATTCTTTGTATTTTAATTTCTAAAATTTGTCAAGGAATTTTACATGTTCACATAGATTTAATTTTTACTTTAATTTTTCAGCGAAAATAGCGAAATTAAAATCCAGTGAATAATTAATGCATTTACAGTATATGTAATTGATTTACTATTAACCTGTTTAATTTCGAAGATTTAAAATTTTTATGAATCTTGTTGGGAAATTAATTTTTCACAAATACAATAAAATAAAAAAAATTTCGGACATTTTTCGAGTTTATTGTATTCGTGAAAAAGGCTGCCGAGATCTCATTAAGAGCGTGATAGCCATAAAGTATTAGACTTGCTCCGTAAATATTGTTTTATTCACTGTCGTCATTGTGTTCACATTTCTGAATACCATGGTTACGTAGGTTAGAGGAACAGTTTATGCGATAAAAGCACTTCTGAAATAATGTTTATAAGCCAAGAATTGAAATTTTATTTTGAATACTGTAAAATGACTAATTTCACTGGGTTTAAATTTCACTGATTTACCATTTCAGGCATATTCAGTGGGTTTTAAATTCATGGTTTTATCATTTAGATAATGTGTTCTATGCTAAATTTTACATATTCACCAGGTTTTAATTCAGCGCATTTTCCAGTCGGCGAAATAAGCAAAATTATAACCCAGTGAATAATTAACCCTTTTACAGTAATATGTTTAAAAGGCGGTAGTCATCGTGCCACAGATGGGGCGAGATATATGGGTATCATATAAACAAAGATGGCGACTTTGACTGTTGCGCAGATCAACGAGTACGAACTGACACGTTCCCAAGCTTTATTTAGGTAATTTTTAGATGACTGGAAGGTGTTGAAGAATTCACTGGCGGTAATCAGTACAAGTCGCGCCCAGGTCAAACCTCATACTTGCGATTTCCATTAGAAGAGTGCATTGGATTGTGGGAAAATCAATGTTTATCAACACAAATGTCGCACATGTGCAGTGAGACGACTGCCACCTTCATTTCAGTTCATTTTGCTAAAGACAGCAACATCATCAATTGCGACTAGCACTTTTATTCTCCAACCTGTCCAACAAACAGGCAACCTCTGGAAAGTGATCATTGAATTAAACTAAAGAAAAAGAGAAGACACATCTCTGTACAAAAGAATTGAGGTTGAGGGCGTCCTCTTTCTATTTTAAACGATAATTATCTTTTAGACTATCAAATTATTTTGTTTTATCGGCAGCTTACTACCTACCTAAGGAAGATGGGGAATTCTACCAGTTTGTGTATGTTAACAAAAATGGCGAAGTTA